TGCATATATACACACATATATCTGTGTGTGTGTGTGTGCGCGCGTGTATGTGATCATGTGAATGCCTTTTTCTTTATACGTGTTTTTTAAAGATCATGAGGAACTGTTTGCTTTCATCTGGCAAGACCAGCAAAACCCCTTTTCCTTCCTACCTCAGTCTTATATTAGCTCTCTAAGTGATAGAGGCAGGAGGCAGAGAAACTCTAGGCAGACAAGGGTGGTTCTTTGGTGAAACCCCATCTTCAAGCTGAAAAACCTGGAGTGAGAACTTCTACCCCAGTTTGGCTGCTCTCTGTCAATTGTTCTTTCTGAATAATGTCTTTTTACCAATCGAATGTTGCCTTTTCCAAAACTACCTACAGCCTGCCCTGCTCCCCATCCCATGCCTATAAAGACTCCAGATTCAGCCAGTAGAGAGGAGAAGTAGCTGGACATCAGGGAGAGTTGACTTCACTTCAGAGGCGATGGCTGTACGTCCAGGAGAAGCAACTTGACTTCGGAGAAGTGAGGCAGAGAGGCGACTTGACTTCAGGGGAGAGCGACCTGCCCTTCCCATACGCTTTCCAGCTCCCCTCTCTGCTGAGAGCTGCTTTCATTGCACAATAAAATTCTCTGCACTCACCATCCTTCAGTTCATCTGTGTGGCCTCATTCTTCTTGGGCACCAGACAAGAATTTGGTACCCACGACGTGTGGGTACCCAAAAAGGCTGTCGCACTGGCCCTTTGCCCTTGCTGACAGAGGGCTGCCACCCCACGCAATGAGGCAAAGGTACCACTGAGCTGATAACACACTGCTGTCCGTGGATAGTGGAGCTAAGAGAGCATTGTAACATGCACTCTGGCACCTTCGGGTCGCAGGCACTCCTATCTGGATGCTGCCACAGAGCCTGGATGGAGTTTGCTCCTGCCAGTGCCAAAGCAGCTGGCCAGTTCCCACACTCACTTGCCTATGTGCTCCCTCCCATGAGGGGTGCGGTGAGGCGGACCCTAGGAAAAGGTGTTTGCTCCTGCTGGTGCCAAAGTGGCTGGGCACCCCTGTCACGAGTCCTGTGAAGGGGTCAAGAAAGTATCCTGCATCATAAATTTATGACCCAAACTAGTCCTTAGGGATCTTGATCTCCTTTTCTTCCAACCATGTGACATCATTACTTTGCATTGATGATATTATGCTGATTGGGCAGGACCTAGCAACTACTCTAGACACACTGGTAACATACTGACATGACAACCTAAGTATCGATTCCCACAAAAAATCCGGGGCCTTTAAACTCAGTGAAATATTTAGTGGTCAAGTGCTCAGAGGCATGTCAACATAGTACTTATCAGGTGAACAGCAACTTGGTACATCTCACCCTTCCTGTCACTCAAAGGGGACACAAGAAATAGTGGGCCTCCTTTGTTTGTGATGGTGGTAACATGTACCTCGTTGGGGTGCGCTGCTGTGACTTATCTGCTAATGACTGGAAAATCTGCTACTTCTGAGTTTGGCCTAGTACAAGAAAAAGCTCTCTGAACCCACACCTATGGCTCCGAGGGGGGTTCCTTATGAACAGAGTTGTCTCAAAAACAAACAATAAAAAAATCTCTAGGCCTGGCTTACTTACTATTTTTTCTTTATAATGGGCTGGCAGCACCTGTATTAGTTTTCTATTGCCACATAACAAATTACCCCAAATTGGGCAGCCTAAAATAACACACATTTATTATCCACAGCTCTGCAGATCAAGACCGGGAAGGCTCAACTGGCCTCTCTGCTGGGTGTCTCCCAAGGTCAACTCAAAATGTCAGGCCAACTGGGTGCTGATGTGGAGACTGTGGAATAATCCATTTCTAAACTTATTCAGGTTATTGCCCATTTAGATCTAGTTTCTTGAGGTGGTAGGAAAGTGGCTCCCACGTTTTCGCTGGCTGTCATCCAGGGACTGCTCTAAACACCTATTGCCACCCTATATACCTTTTCAGGTGCACGGTATTATCCTGAAAGCGGGCCTACTGTGTCACATCCTTCTTGTGCTTTGACTCTCTTACCTCTTCTTCTGCTCCTTGGTAAGAAAAATGCTCTGCTTTTCAACGATTCCCCTGCCAGGTCTGGCCCACCCACACCACTTCCATGTCTCAAGGTCAACTGACTTGAGACTTTAATTATCCACCAAAATCCCACCATAGTAGTATTTGGATTAATGCTTGATTGAGTATACAGGAGATGGGAACCTGGGGAATCAGACTACAGCTGTCTCAGTTTGAGCAGCTACCACGGAATACCACAGACTGGGTGACTTCATCACCAGACATTTCTTTCTCATAGTTTTGGAGGCTAGAAGTCCAAGAACAGGGTGCCAGCATGCTCAAATTCTGGTGAGCGTCCTCTTCCTAACTTGCAGTCAGCCACCTTGCTGTATCCTCAAATGTTGAAGAGGCATGGAAGAACAAGTTCCCTTTTCTGTAATTATAAGGGCACTAATCTCATCATAGGGACCCAAACATCATGACTACATCTAAACCTAATTACCTTCCAAAGGCTCCACCTCCAAATATCATCCCATTGGGAGTCAGGGTTTCATCGTATGAATTCTCAGAGGACACAAATATTCAGTCCGTCTATAATGCCTGCCTACCACAAAAGCCAGAAGTGGACAGCTGTGTAGTCCTGAAGGACAGTGGTGAAGGGAAATCTTCCCAGAGGGAAGAACGTTGAGCAGTACTCTTGTGTGGAGGAGAGATGGCCAGGGCTATGAGATATTTGGGTCTCATGAGAGTTCTCAGCAAAGGGTAACCTCAGCAGAGAAGAATTTTAATAATCTGAAGGATAAGGTACTTATTATCTAGATATTAATCAGCCTCTTTCCCCAACACTTGTGTCATAACCTCATGGGCTCACAAAGTGGCCAAGGTGACAGGGATAGAGATTATGCTTCAGCAGCATGGACTTCCATTCACCAAGGCCAACCTGGCTACAATTGATAGAGATATGAGACAGCCAAGGATTCCCGGTGAAACCTGCCTTCAAGCCTAAAATGGCCTGAAGGTTGAAAAACCAGACTGCTGGTCCCAAATGTAACCCACGATCCACAGGGAGAATCGCCACTGTTTGCTCGCCCTTTTCCAACTGATTCTTTCTTAGTAATGGTGACATGTGTACTGAGGGAAGGATGTGGAGCCACAGAAAGTTTGCAGCTAGTGCAGGGGTGGTGGTGGGGAGCTTGGTCTCTTCGGTTCCTGTGTGGTGGTCCAGAATCAATCTGTGAGATGGGGACTTGTTAGCAGGACTCCCTCCTGCTTTGCTGAGAGATATTTTTTCCTTCCTATTTTTCCTTTTCAACCAATAAATTCCGCTCCTCACCCTTCAATGTGTCTGCGAACCTAATCTTTCCTGGTCGTGTGACAAGAACTTGGTTTTAGCTGCACCACAGTCATTGCTGAGTGTACAATCTGCCAGAAACAGACAGCAACACTGAGCCTCTTATATGACACCTGCCTGCAGAGTGATCAGCCAGCTACCAGATGGCAGATAATTACATTGGACCACTTCCACTATGGAAGGGGCAGGGCTGTGTTCTTACTCAAATAGACACTTATTCTGATTATGGATCTTCCTTCCCACCCACAGTACTCTGAGAAAAGCAACATTTGTGAACTTAGAAAAATGCCTTATTTACCATCATGGTATTCCACACAGCATCACCTCGAAAAAAGGCACTCGCTTCACAGAAAATAAAAAGTGCAGCAATGGGCCCATGCTCATAGAAATTCACTGGTCTTATTATGTATATGCCCCTATCCCCCATCATTTTTTTAAGAGATGGTAGTGTTTTTCCCACCTTGTCTGGAACTCCACATCAGCCTCCCAAAGTGCCCCCCATTATCTTAAAGTGACTGGATCAACAGAACAGTGGAATGGCCTTGTGGAACTCAGTTATAGTACTAGCTAGGTGGCAATACCTTGCAGGTCTGAGAAATTACTTTTAGGAAGAAGTGTTTGCTGTTTATCTGCATCCAACATAGTTTGCTTTCTCTCCCATAGTCAGGATTCATGGGTCCTAGAATCAAGAAGTACAATTGGGAGTGTCTCTACTCACTTTTCACCCCAGTGGTCGACTAGCAAAAATGCTTCTTATTTTTCTGACTTGAGGCTCTGCTGAACTAGAAGTCTTAGTTCCAAAGGAAGAAATGCTTTCGCCAAGGGACATAACAGTAATTCCATTGAGAACAGATAGATACTGTCAGCTGGCCATTTTGGTCTCTTCATCAATTTCCATCTAGAGTCAAAGGAGGGGGTCATCTACTGGTTGGGGGTGATGAACTTGATAATGAAAGGGGGATGAATTGCACAGGGGCTAAAAGAGAGTATGTCTGACATGTCTAGAGAGCTTCTTAGACCTCCCTTTTTTTTTTCTTTGTTTGTTTGTTTTGAGATGGAGTCTCACTGTGCCACCCAGGCTGGAGTGCAGTGGCGTGATCTCGGCTCACTGTAACCTCCACCTCCCAGGTTCAAGCAATCCTCCTGCCTCAGCCTCCCGAGTAGCTGGGATTACAACCACGGGCCACCATGCCTGGCTACTCTTTTGTATTTTTAGTAGAGACAGGGTTTCACCATGCTGGCCAGGCTGGTCCTGAACTCGTGACCTCGTGATTCGCCTGCCTCGGTCTCCCAAAGTGTTGGGATTACAGGAGTGTGCCACTGCTCCCTGCCCCTCCCATGTTTTTTGATTGCACTTAATGGAAAATTACAGCAACCCAATCCAGGCAGGATATCGAATGGTCCAGAATGTTCAGTAATGAAGGTTTGAGTCATCCTGCCAGGCCAAGCACCATGACAGGCTGACATGCTACCTCAGGGCAAAGGGAATGAGAAATAGGTAGTGAAAGAAGGCAGTTATAAATACCAGTTATAGCAATGTGAGCTGCTGCAGAAACCAGAACTGTAATACTAAATACCTTGGTGAGTTATTAACTCATATACCTCCTCAAGTGGAAGAAGAAACCAACAAACAAGAAAAGTGCAGCTTTTACTAACAGTGATTTATTAAATTTAAACAGCTCCCTTTTTCGTAGCTTTTGGAAGGGAAATCACTTCAGAATTATAGAGAGCTTCAGCAATAACCTGTTCCATCCTACAGCATATGTTCTTGTTTCTCCTTGGTCTTTGCACTAACACAATTATTTTTTTCTCATGTGCTTAACTTTTCTGAGATGGCAGTGGGAATCTATTTCTTTAAGCACCTTCTCGAGTTGCTGAATTAAGACAACTTTTTTAAACCTGAAATTAAAGAGGAATTCCATTCACCAGATGATATCTACAGGATCTATGAGATGTAAGAGGTAGAGTGGATACAAAATAGAGTTTACCATCTACATGCAAATAGAAAATGCATCCTCATGGAAAGATACAAACTAGAAAAATACAAAGTGAGTCAACTGAGGGTCCATGCACACTCCCAGATTTTGATAAATTTGGAAGGCCCCCTGGCATTGGAAGAAAGTGTTAGAATAAGATAATATCAACCTAAATGCCTGTGGAAATAGCATGAACTATGATTGAGAGCCAGAGATTAGGAGGAACAAACATGATTTGTCCCTGCCCCTGTCCCAAATTGGGCACAAATGCTTAAAATAGCAGAGTTCCTTTTTGCACTCACCTTGCTGCTTCCTTGATGGTAAATTCAACAAATTGTCTCTTGACCTTCATAGATCCTTGTACCTCTTCAAGCAAAATGAAAATTCTTTCATAATCTGAAGATATTTTAAAAATTAGTATTTCTACAATTACGAATATGAAATATACCTCAATCTTAGTGCATCCACTACCACAGTATACATTTTTCATGGGCTAAAATGTTACATAGTGTTTGTGTTTTGAATGCTTAAATCACAACATCTGTATATTACTAAGGAACTATTGTGAAAAACAAAACACTTAATCAGATATATTAGCAATTTTCAGTGAAATTTAAGTGAAGCCATGCTAAATTATATACAGATCCAATTCAACCAAACAATGAGCTCAAGAGGCAGCTGACTTCTGTTCTAAATCATAGAATGAGAGACTTCTCATGCTTTCACTGATAAGACATTCTTGCATTACTTACTTTGCCCAAACCTTCGAACTTCTTTCATTAGTTGATATTTTATATCGTCATTAATTTTCTTTGCCATGGCAGGAGACATTTGTGGTGTATTTGGCACAGTTTCCACTGAAGGCATTGCTGTGACTGGTGGGTCACCTGTAGAGACACTGTAGTTTTTGATGCCTACAGCAAATTCATTACTATCAGGTTTGTAAAGCAGCTCATCTTTGCTGAGACTTGTGAAGTCGTAAGAGAAAGAACCCAACGCCTTGGGTGGCATACGATGTCCTGTCATATTTATAAGCTCTGGTAAATCAGAATTTGACAGGAGGCCATCAGGAGGGATTTGACCATTTTCCATTTCCTCCTCCTGGATATCGTGAATGACAGTAGAATCTGGAATCCAAATGAAAAAGTTGAGCTGTGAGGTAAGTGCATTATGTCACCCCCACAGTATATCCCTCTGATGCCCGGTTTCTAGGAAGTCATCTCATGAAGCAAGAGGATATACCAGGTAGCGATCCGAGACCCCTCAAACTAAGTTCAAGTAAGATAATACAACAAAACCACCTTCTTCCCTGCAGGACACTATGCAGGGATATGGAAACCAAGCAGGACAGTACAACCAATACACAAACATACACAGACCCCTGGTGCTCCTGGATGAAATACCAGCTCCTGACAGATTAGTACACCCTGGTGGAACTGTTGACAAGGAGTTATCAGGTGTCTGTTGGTCATTTTTCATCTTCGCCTCATGGACATTGTGAGTGGCGGTGATATCTGGAAACAAAATGAAGAGGTCGAGCTGTGAGGTAAGTGCATAATGACAACCCCACAGGGATATCCTACTGATGCTCAGTTTCTAGGACACTATCCCATAAAGCAGGAGGATATACCAGGTGGCAATCAGAGACCCCTGAAATTGAGGCAAGCAAAGGTAATACCGCAAAACCACCTTCTTCCCTTGATGACACTATACATGCATATGGAAATCAAGAAGGACGGTATAAGTAAAAAACACACATACACCACAGATCCCTGGAACTCATTGCTGGAATACTAGCTCCTGCCACATTAATAAACCCAGATAGAACATTTG